CCCCCCCAAGCAGCACCCCCTCCCCCCAAGGTAGCAACTTGCTGAAGGCCAAGGCAAAGCCTTCCTTGGAAATATGATACACTCCTTTCAGTTCCAGCTGGGATGTGGGGGTCGGGATGCAGCTCGGGTGGTGGCAGAAAGGGCCATCGACTCATGGCTGATTTACAGTGACCCCTCGTGGGGTTTTCAAGGCAAGAGGGGTTCAGAATTGGTTTGCCGCTGCCTGCCTCTATGCAGCGACCTCAGCCTTCCTTTGTGGCCTCCCATCTACGGTCCAATCGGGTCCAACCTGGCTTAGCTTCCGAGATCTGACGAGATTGGGCCAGTTTGGGCCATCCAGGTCAGGGCAGAGACGTTCAGAGGTGACTTCCCATTGCCTGCTCTTGTGCTGCCACCCGGGACCTCCTTGGTACTACCCGAGTTCTAGCCAGGGCCGGCCCCACTTAGCTTCCAAGACTGGGCTAGTCTGGGCCCATCGAGGTCAGGATGTGACAGGGATAATTTTCGCTCAGTGCTGTATTTAACAAGCTGGTGGTTGGCATGGAATGAGGCGGGGGGCAGGACGACAAATCAGAAATCCTACCCTACCTCTCAGTCTGCCCCCCCTCCCTCCAGGATCCTCTGAGCCTTGAAGGGCTTGAGCAGAATTATACACACACACACACCCGACTCAACTCCCCTTGATAGTCTCCTGGAGCATATTCATTGGTCCATTTACAAAGATGCAAATTTCTGCATCTCGGGGGAATCCTCCTTACCTGTGGGTAGCTCTACTGGGTGCCTTTCATTAGCCAAACAAGGGCCAGCCCATTTACTATTAAGAGCAGTACTTCTATCTATCCATCTATCTATATCTATCTATATCTATCTATCTATAGTTATTTTGGGGAAGGATTTGGCCCGCGTTGGTGCATGCACACACCTGTGTTTTTACATATCATTACCCTGAGCACATCAGAAGAGGCGGTTTCAAAAATCTAAAAACGAAATGCGCACACACACAACACACACAGTCTGGCAAGGGGAGCTGGCGCCAGCTGCCCAGAGAACAGTTCTGAGCTACGTTTTTACGTAATGATCTCTGGAAGATACTGAACCTACCGAAAACAGAGAAAAGCAGGCACGGCTATTTTTGAAAAACCAAAATAGCCTTACAGATGGCTCTGATGAGGCTGGGGGGGGGGGCGGTTGGTTGG